GAAGGCGCTACCGCCGTCGACATGGGCGGCCCGCCTGGGGCGGCCACCAAGCTATCGCTACTACGTCGACGCCGTGTTGCCTCTACAACAAGATGAAGGGGGCAGAGGAGCAAAGATCTCTTTCAACAAAAGGATGGCTGTAAAAGGAATAAGAAAGGGAAAAAATGAATAAAAATGGCTGTATCCTTTCCTGCTTATTCTCTCTGGCTGAAGGAACGCGATGCAGGGGTGAAGGCAGATGTGTGAGAAGGAAGCAAAGCACTGAAAATAGGCTAAAGCAAGCTTAGACCAAACATACATGAAGCAGTAGGTTGTGACCCACGATGCTGCAGAATATGATAAACTTGCGAGTCGAGAAACTGCTGGATGCGTAAATTGGGCCAAAAAGGGGATAGCGGGCAAACGACGACGAAATTACTGCAACTGGGAAAGTACTAGGGCTCGACCCGGGTTTGACGCAGTGAGAAACGAATAAGTTTCAATGTATTGCCAGCGCCTGAAAAATTACGGACGCAGCGTGGCAGACAGCTAGGCCAATTGGTAGTACGAATACTCCACGGGCGAAGAACGCCTTGAAAGATTAAGCCAGACGGGGGGATGCTATGAAGCTTACAGTCTGAATCACCGGTTTAGAATGGAGTACAAGGAAAAGAAAACAGTCAATAAACTCGAAATGCTGCAGTGTACTTGTTATAGAGGAACCTTGCGTGATAGTCCTTCCAGAATAAGGCTAAACAGTCTAGCCAGGCGCCTGGTTAGTTGACGCCGTGTTCTGTGTATAGTCCATTAAGGTAACACGCGCAGATCATTAGAATGGGTATCAATATAAACCGAAACGCCTCGTATACAAGTTACTACTTTGTAACGTGTAAGGAAAGAAATAATGCCGTTTTTATTCTCCTCAGCTTTCTACGTATCCGAACGAGGGTATAAATGAACTATGTAAAGGCTACCCGGTAAAAGGCACGCACAGCGAGGCGCGTAAAAGATCGCTGTCCGCACGTTATTTCAGAGGACATTTTTGTTGAAACCAGCAGACTATTCAGCTGTATTAATAGCTCTGTCGTATGACTTCGAATCAACAGTATGGCACACTAAGGCAGAGAAAGAGAACATTATTCTGGTCGAATAGCGTTGAAAAGAAGATTACTTAAACTTCAGTTGTTTAAACTCCCAAAAACTCTGAGGTATTTTAAGGCGTAAAGTCTGCTCCATCCTGTTCAATCATAGTCGTGTCTACGGTTGAAGCGGTACTGCAATGCGCCTTGTCGATGGACGGCCTTTGCAACTCGAATGATTTAGGTAGTCGTCAAATTTCTTTTCCTCTATTATAGACGCTCTAGGGGGTATGTAAAATATATTCAACATCTTAAACATTAAGCAATAAAAGAGGTCTGTGTTTTGCAGCATTGACGATTTGTTCCGCTTAGATGGTTGAAGGCCCATAACATGATACTGCGATATAAGGCTCAAATGTACGAAGGGGTTGGATTGTTAAGCAGAATGATATGCAATACCTGTGCCCGATATTGCACTAATAATTTATCAATTGAAGTATCTGCTAGCAGCGTGAATGTATCACTTAGCCCGTTGAGCCCAATGAGCTCAATTCCTGGCCTTGGTTCTGGGCATCCTGAGCATGTCGGACTACCTCTGTGAACCCGACCGCCAATTGTGTCTATAATTTAGACATTAAACTACATAAACGATTACGTGGTAGCGGAATTGTGGATGAGGAATGTCTCCTGGCTTCCGTACCTGTGTACCTTTCAATTCAAATACCGCTTAGCACTATCTACAAAAAAAAAGTTTCGGTATGACCAAGTGGCAGTATTTCGAAGGACCTGAAGGAGTGAGTAATTAGATACAAGCGTTTTGCAGGGGCAGATTGGCAATAGGAAGCACAATACTACAAATGTGTCAATGTCCTGTTTGGGACCTAGACTACCCCATTAATCTAAGTTTGACGAGTTTCATCATAGCAACTAAATGCTGCCTATTCTCGCTCGAAGTTCCTCGGTTCAAACACGCAAGAACATATATGACCCAATGCAGGTATTGGACAGGCATATTAATGAACTATGGTTTATCAACATTTTGTAACTGAACCAGTACGCTTTTGATCCAACTCAGCGCCTTGCTACAATTTAGTGCAGGCCCTATAAAGCAATATGATTATACCTAGAAGAAGCAAAGGGATTAGAGTGATGACACGTGTATTGCCGGATACCAAATAATACGTTTACGGAATACAAAACGGGCCTGTTCTGTAAAGCGATACACGAATTCAACGAAGAATTGAAGAGTGACCAGATACCTTCATTCAGAAGTGTTCATGGTGCGTTTAGGAAAATTAATGGGAGCTGTTTGTTGAACGGATATGCGTTAATCCGCTACTCCTAGTACCAGACAAGGGCCGGTTGTTTCTAGAGCAGAACAACAAACAGCAGTTGATCGTTCTTCAATCAGAGCAAAGGTAACCTATTAAGGATTTTCTTCTATGCTAATAAATGTTCAGTTTCAGCATGTTTTTATGCAACGGCTACTTGTCATGTAGCGGCAATAACACTCCAATATTGAAATACTATCCACCGCTAGACCAGAGTAAGCTAACAGAGTGCTCGGGTCGAGAGGTGTGGGCGATTGAGCTACCGTGCCCATCGCGCCGCAGTTGGCGAGATAAAAACATAGCAAGACGCCATGGCTGATAGTGGTGGTAACAGGGGGTGGTTGAGTAAAAAGGTCTCTTACAGGGAAGACGCCGTGGCGTTGCTGGCGACAGGAACAACAATGAAGACTGCGTGCGACCTTAAGGGCATGCAAGGCGATCTGTTTATTCGAGTGTTGCCCATTGAATCTCTGAAATTTTCTAGCCTTATATTAACTCATCGGAGTACACGTGCTTGTGACTTTGAAAATATTACGCAATGTCTTGTTTTTATCAAATAAATACTACTAGAAGCACTAATGAGACTTTAGCCGAAATTTTTCTAAAGTATATATATCTGTGCAAAGTTTTGTCGGTTAGGTTCACAGAGTAAACATGTGGTGATTTTTTAGCTTTGGTGAAAAAAAATCAAACATGTGTTTATCTAGAAATAAAATATATTTGATCCTTATATAAAACAGAAAAACTTAGGTAAAAGGTATAGGAGCTATTGTGAAGCGACCTATACAGTGATTAAGGGAAAGATAATATCATTTTTACACAAAGTAAAGCCACGACCTGCCCGGCCGATATCTATAGGAGTATATTATAGCGGTAAAAGACTACATTATTCATCATTCCCGCTTACTCTGCACTATTTCAGAGTCTTTCCGCCATGAAACGCTTGAATCGATAGACGAAGTGACTGAGTGAATTGTGGATGTTAGAAAATCGTAAGTAAGCAATATATTATCGAAGTATTCGATCAATCGTATTATATACCACCCATAGCAGCAGAAGCTTATAACAATAAGCGGTTGCGCGTATCGTTTTGGCGTTTCTGTAGTTGGGGTGCCGTAGCTTTGAAGCTATCCGTCACGAAAATTTCTATGAAATATAACAAAGCTACACTCCTTTGAGAGATATAATAAAGCTTTTGCACCAAGTCCGCAAACTGAAGAAGACCGAACGATCTATTTTTCCTACAATTTACCGATTGTGTTTTAACGCAGCTGTTACTGGACCATGTTGCCCCCAAAGCTCTACAGTTGCTTTGGAAAACAATCGATCGGATTCGAAATCTACGAAACGACAGTCCATCTGAGCTAAGGCCCTGGACAAAGCTTTGTACAACTAGAAAGAAAGGAAGTTGACATTTTTCGTGTTTACGTCCAGTTTAAGCTGTCAGGCATCATTTGAGACGGCCGGCTCCTTGTACAAAATGAAGTGCATCTCCGAACGTAAAATAAGCGCTACGTAGCGTTTCACGCTGATCGTTAAGCCGAAACGATAATGTCAAACAGTTTGATGCGATGGTTTCACTCGAACAAATACTTCCGCACCACTACCAGCGTGCATGGTCTGATGCGTAAGTATTTAGATAGCAATGTAAAAAACAGCTCAAACATAGTATAGGTCGGTAACCATCTTGCGACTGACGACGTGCTTAGGTAATCGTAGATACTCATCTGTTCGTGTGCGCCGATAAATACTGAAAGCATCATGGCGGGCCATTCGTCTGAAATTTTTGCCGCTTTCTTACGATACGTTGGCCGTGTAGCGGTGTCGATCCGTCCTGAGCTGTTGTTGTAAATTTAGCTTCACTAACTTCTACACTACGGGACCATATCAATGCAGCGGCTTGACGCTCAACCACAACGTCTCCTTCGGTAAATGTGAACATACCAATGAAGTCTATTAAAAATTCGTCGCTTACTGTGCTTTCCTCTGTCGATACCCTCGGCTTATAAGCGCTCCTATTACGACGGCGCCGTATCCGGTTTGTTCTCTCGTGAGGTGCTGTGAAGCTGACGTCCCAGAAAAGACTGACGACACATATACGGTGAACTACCGTCCACTATCCCCACTAGTACCCGGCTGCCCGCATAATTTAAAAATAATTGCATCAATCTCGGCGGCAATGAAAAGTTTCGCCATTGCATTAGTTGAAATATTATGAAAAAACTAAGCATTTGCCATGCAACGAAGACTATTAAAGCTTCGAATAAAGTTTATACAAAGTAGATGCGTGGAACCAGAGAAGCCATTAGAGAAGTTCAAATAGAAACAAGCTACATACAGCTATGATGCTTTTGAGCAAAGAAAGACCATTTAAACTGTTAGTCTATAAAGGCAACCTATATTGGGAATACAGTGAATCATCCTTCAAACGTAGATGAAGAGTTCAATCGACGTTTGGAAAAACTTCCTACCATTCCACTACCTATCCACCTACCATCCACTACCTATCCACCTACCATCCACTAACTACCTACCTACCTACCTATCCATTGTTGAAAAAACGACCCAAGACTATATGTCAAAAATGGACGATTCATTCCTTTTTATTTCATATAATATACATTCATTGATAAGACTTGGCTCTTTGTAAATACTTCCCGAAAAATTACAGCCTTGAATGAAGTGTTGATTTCCCAATGAGCCAAATAGAGGCTTATCTCTTTGAGCTGCGTTTTAATCGTACCGTTGGCTTTCTATTAACCATTACCAAAAATAGGTAGCTTGTTACCGAAGTGCAAAACCGAAGATAGATCATTTTGTAAAACGCCTTGGTATTGTAGCAGTTTGAGTGTGATAACCGCTATTGTCGAGAGGCGAGTTCGGTGGGTGAAAGTGAAGTCGTCATAGGTCCTAGCGTAGGAGCATATGTCTGGGTCAGCCATGCACGTTCTGTTTCGACACATGATCACGAATTCGGTCAGTCGGCCTAGGCTCTGTATGGCGATAGATAACGCGCTGCAGTAGTTATTTGCGAACAGGTCGTATCGTGTTAGGAAGAAATTCTTTCTGTTTCTAACTGGTCTCACTGATAACCAAAATCGATGACATAGTCGCGTGAGTTGAGTCTTTCGTGACGAACGTGTTTAACTTCGTCCCACGATACAAGAGTAATCGTGGAAGTTAGTAGAACGTACAGGAAAGTACCTGTGCTGCCTTTCCAGAGACCGCTAAAGCCCTCATTATGAATTATTTGACGTGCGCAATCCCATATACCTGAACATCAAATCAATATGGCCGCGTATAATATTGATAGAAGGCTTACACCAAGTAATCTATCCAATTAACTATCTAGTTGATTGTAGAGTGTGTATATGAAATCAGACATGGCGAACACTTGCGTGCGTCATCCTTATACTCTCATTCGTTAGTAGTAAAGGTACATAGTAGTTACGGAAGAACCCAGGAAAGCGATACATTTACTATACGCTAGGGAGCACCAGCCCTTCAGGGCCCTAATCGAGCTCTGAGGCGTCAAATTGTCATAGATTATTTTCCTCGTTTTGAAACACAGCGCTATACAAGTATTCCAGAAAGAAAAAAAAACTATTACATACCTTCTAAGCCATGAAATTTCGTGTATTTCGAGATTGGGTATGCAGGCTACAAATACAAATTTTAGTTAGCTTTTAAATTTACTGAATCGTTCAATATAAGGTGGCAGGATCAATAATCTCGGATTTCAGGATGGTGCTATTTTATAGTGACGCAATATTATGCCACGCTTTCCTTTGTTTCTGAGACTCCCTGGTAGCCTTGAGAATGTGATGCCATTCGCTTGGATATTGTCATTTGGGCTTTTAGTGGGCGAGTTACAGCAGACGATAGAGAAGGAGGGAAATACGAGGCCCATTTTACAACAGAGACGGCGGTGACAGTTCGCCCCACATGCATTATATTCGATGAAGGCTCTACTTCTTCGATGTAGCTACTACTACGCAACTCGAGAAGGGAAATCTTGTGGAGTCTTATACGAAGCTCCTCGTAAAGGGGAATGACAAAGTGTTGAGAGGTTTGATAGAGGCCAAATGAGCCCAAGACACACGGACGATAGTTCTCCCATTTGGTGTGCATAAATATTCCACACTTATTAGTTTCGGTCAAATAAATAAGCTAAATAGGCGCCGCTTGAGTTAAACGAGGGCCAAAAACGTATTTTGTACGAATACGAATTGTAATTTGTGAAGAAAAAATAGGTCCTCTACGATAATCGCGGACGGTCACAGCGTGGGTCGGTGCCGCTGAACCGGCGGGGCTAGAGTTACCATAGTTCATGATGTTCATTTAATTACGTAATACAGGTTTTAACCACTAGTGCTAGACGTTTATTAATTAGGGCTAAAATGTATTATCAACGACTGGAAGAGATGATAAACTTCACTCTAAACAGTCAGGGCAGACGATTTACACAACAACGTTCGACGTCAAAAATCACAGCCGCGCTCATCAGGCACTACCTTTGCAGGCTATCATTTTTTGTTTTTTTTTTTTGCAAAAGCTCGTTAAGTTCTGCAAATCTCAATCTAATATCAAAAAACTGTCTTTAGAGACTTCATCGACTCGTACAGAAACAGAGCTAGGCTTGTGAAAAAACTTCAATGACTAGCCTTCGTTGTATTGTCCTTTATACTAAATGATTTAATATGTGAAAGTTTATTGAAAAGTTTAAAATAGGTCATGCCAGAGGTAGAATTTTCTCTCTACAAAGCTCATTATGAACTTTAGTCGTCAATTATGTGACAAGCCATGCTTTGATTTGCTGTTGTTTTTACTGATTTAAGTAAAAATATTTATAACTAATAGTTGTCCTACCTTTGTAGTAGGCGCCCCGACCATTGTGTTGAATTGGTTGCACGTAAATACGCGCCCGTATCAGGTCTAAAGACGCAATAATTGGTGAGGTAATCAATGACGATACGAAGGCCGCAAGTAGCGTATTAAACAGTAAATATCTGACAATTAGAACAAGAGAAACGTACAGGTATATGTCTCATGTTCGTTGATCCACGATCCAGTGAAATCACCAGAACAATCAGCATAAATCTTTGACTTTCAGGAGCCAACTAAAAGAGTCCTGTTTTTTCTCGCTAAAAAAAATCATCATAAAGACTAACTTGAGCTCAATTGTTTCACTTGTCAATTTGTTCAACATGTCGGTAGTAGTATTGTCTGCTATAAAAAAAAATCGATTCCTGACTACTAGCTTCAAATTGACTTGAAATAAAAACAAAAATGCCTTTATGTTGCTAAATGATGGGTTATAGAGTTATTTTTATAAGTATTTGAAAAAAACTCGTCACAAAAGTTCGCTTTCACATGTCGTATATAGACTCTATGCTTGAACTACATTGTAATGTTTCAACCCAACAATGCACCTTTTATGGTGAAAGGACCTACGGAAATCCAGTGATGAACAGCACATAATTATACAATTTAGGCATCGTATGGTCTAGCCATACTTTCAGCGTTACCTTTCATTGTAGTCGACCGACAGAAAAAGTAGATCTTTCATCCCGACATAGGTGCTAAGTTGGAGCGATGAACCCACGGCGATTCGAAGCACATTTGAAACAGTGCCTCGCCAGAGGCCTACTCGTAGGCGATGTGTTCCATAGATATCCCGAAGGGCATGCATTGTTCCCTAGAGGAAAGTTTATTCAAGAGTTCCGTAAACCTGCGTAATGTTTGCCTAGGCATCAAGATAATACATAGAGTTAGATCTGCACGCGTCTGCTGTCATACCGTCTAACGGCCGTTTCGGGCTCAAAATCCGCAACACAAGACTCGGATATGTATATATAGTATCTATTTACAGATCATTCTTTGAAAACGCGAAGACACAATTCCTTGAACTCGAAACTGCTTTAGTAACTGATTAGTTGGGTATCTCAAGCAAGTGCATGTTATCAAACATAGTATCCGCAAAAAATTTACCGCCTAATAGCCTGTAATGTCAAGTTAATCCTTAATAATTTTCTTTTCTAAATAAGCTGTGAGAGATGGAATTATGAGAATGATTATCAACCTTAAACGAGCAGGCCATATGTCACTTACCTTACAAGGCATTAGCAAACACATTTGAATTTACTATGGAGCATGTCAACTTTGAGACCTGCAATGGAATGAAACTGGCCTTCCTGAGCTGACTACCTGCAAGGCCGCCATTCCTATTGGACCGTAGACGGGAACCTATATGCCTCGCAGTTAACGTTTCTTAGTTATGACACACAACACCTGATTTTCGACCTAGCGTCTCAATAATGGTATACGTAAAGCGGTGTTTTTCCAATACATAACAGCTAGGAACCGAAAAAGGACAAACCTTTATTATCCTAAATACCTATGGCTATATATCCATTACGCAAATGCCTCAAACTTGTAAGCGAACTTCTATATCTATAAATAATCGCGGCGTCTTGGCTGGCTGAACCAAACAAACCGCCATGGCCCTATAGACCAAGGTAGGATCCACTATTTTCAGGATAATTGCGCACAGAAGGAACACGCCACTAATTTTTTCGCCGTGCTCTATGCTTGGCTGCAGCACTAGGTCCTGCTTGTGGGCCCTCTGTTCGACACGAGTCGAGTGCTACACAGGATATCTATACTGTTGTGGATAGACGTGGCTAGTACTCGGTTCACAAAGATATCATTAGTAAACTTCGGGGAACTAGTAAAGCGAAAAACAGGCATCGGGCAGCCCATAACGTCTGCTAACAAACATCTGTGTCGCACTTGTTCAAATGGTTGTACCATTTTTGTAGGACTTAATTGTTTGACTTATAAGTCATCACCCCAGTCAGCCCAATTGCCGATCCACGAAGCATTTTTATGCCGAAAAAGGACTAGTGTAAAAAGCGTTCTACGCTGTCGACTATTTTTAGCTAGACGTGTGCCGCTCTGTATATGCGTGTGTGTGGCACCGATATCCGGCGGTGAGACACGCTATTGTAAGCATACGCAGCGTGCAAGCTGCTGTCAACGGATTTGATCAGAGCATAAGGATTTTTGCCTAAAATCGTCTCTACGATTACAATGTACAACTATAATGAATGTTAAGACGCACCCTGGAAATCGTGATTGTTCCTCGAAAAATCAGTTCACACCGGGTTATTCTCAGCTGGCCATCTCTGGACCATTTGCCTATTTTGGCCCAGCCAGTAAGCCTTCTAGACAACAAATTTCGCTTACGGAATCTCATTGTACGACACACTAATACAATCATAAAAAGTAACGTAACAAGTTATAAGTATGTATTCCTGAACCACAGCTGGACATCTGTTCATCCGGCGGATGTTTCCTATACCGAGACTTAGAGAAATTTTACATTTTTTTTTAGGGGAGATAAGCCTTTCTTGTTAGCTTCTAACTAAATGTTAGGTTGTTTTTGAACTGATCAGTATACACTTTACTAGAAAACCGCTAGTGGATGGGGTGTCAGGGAACATAGTAGTAGTAAAGGCCAAGTTTTTTAAATATCTGTTCTTATGAATCAACTACGCTCAGTCTTCAGACGAACCGAACGGACTACTCAAAGCATTTTGTGACAATTTTCAAAGTATTCAGCCACAATATAGTTGATGCTATCTATTCGGGTTAGTGACAGGTTGGCAATACAACCCTTAACCCATTCACTAGTATGCGCACTAAATACGCAAAAATACAATCCTAGTCTGAAGGAAACGTCAGCAGATTTTAAAGGATATCTTGCGAGCGGGTCAGGAAATCCGACCTAAGATAGAGCCTGCTCATAGGACCTGAAATTCTCAACCTCGATTATAGGTTAAGGCAAAAATAGATGTTTGTAATGAGCGGACAGGAAATGCACAGGTATTAAGTACATATGGCGTGTCGGCTGTGCACTTAGATTGATCCACACAAACGATGCTATAAAAGTACGACTTACGAACAAGCCGCTCTGCGGTGTACGCTACAGGGGTAAAATGATCAAATAATATCCACTAATGAAATGGGCCGAGTCCTTCGAAGGGAGGCCGTTTATGAATTTTTCCGACCCGCAAATAAAGTTGCTTTGATTTAGGCTTACGGTCTGAAAAACAAGCGGTCGCAGGAAATGCCCCATTACGAGAACTAGTTGTTCCGTCAAATAAATCATGTATATAGCGGACAGTTTATTTTGGCAGCATAATGCCACCCATACGGCATCTGGCATAAACGGTCCGTGAAAACGCTGAGTGATGACAAAAGCCGCGTCCAAGCATATAAATGCACCGCAGCCATATATGAAATAAGCTAAACAAATTCAATGATGAGCAATTCAGTTAAAACAAACCGTTAACGAAACATTTCGTACTTCTAAAGCTACAGTGAAATGTGGAAATTATAGGTAACAAATACGAAGCAAATTACGGCTTCATCTCTTGGCTCCATCTGCCATCAAGCATTGGTCCAGACGGCTCGCTTCTAGTACAGGCGTAAGTGTTCCCGCTTTCAGACCTAGACCACTCCATGTACCAAGACGAAGGTTGATTTGACTCAATTTGTCCGGTTCATGGGCACCTGTGTCATTGAAGAGCGTTGTTCAGTTTGTTTTAGGATTATACACTCAGAGAAGCTACAATCGTCTCTATCGAACAACGGTCGATAGGCCTATCCAAGGTTTTAGGGTATTGATGTATATATATATATATATATATATATATGTGTACACTCTGCGTCAGCTTTCTTCTATAACTAAATGAGAAACTAATTTCCAATATTCCGGCTGAGCTAATTTGCCCTGTTACATAACCCAAAACTAGACTTTCGGGCGTGAAATCGAATGATCGGCTGTGTAACATGTCTAGTCTTGAGCAGCGATAATAATAGTTCTAATAATGTATATTCCGCTCCCAAAAAAAGCGATTGTTGTGGGGTTCAGGTCCGTACTGTGTAGTTTCGCTGGTAGCCGACCGCAATCTTGCTGGCAGACCGTATCATCATGAGGCTTTTAACCATAAACAGGGGGCTGGCGATAAAGGCGCTTATTGCTCCACACGCAGCCCCAGATAGTGCTGACAGCGGTATCGATGATTCCATGTTTTCGTTCCTAGTTAAACCCAAATCTTCGATGGATTGGAAAAGTCCAAGACGGAGGCCCTGTGAGATCAGCTGATACCCTGCGGCTGGAAAAATACCCCGATATATCGCACGTATTCCGTCATACTTGATCACCTGGAAAGAGATGTAGAGAAATTGAAGGACACATTTTACTTTTTGATATTATTCTCCAATTTGTATAGGAGTCTTGAACTGTTGCGCTAATTGTTTTGAGATCTGGGTCCCACGTAGATTTCGCGCACGGACCTATGGCAGACGGTGTGATTTAGTTGACTGGAAAGAAGCGTCTTATGGAAAAGAGGCGTCGACCTGTGCCTATTTAACGCTAAGCTACCCGTCAATCTTTGTTATGATCGTTAATATAAAGCTATCGTTGTCACATGGTCACAGTAAAGAGTATCGACTGGTTCGCATTGCTTTGCGGTGATGAAGAATAGAAGCAGGTCAAACATATCCTAGTAAATAATAAGCGGAAAGTATTTCTCCATTCATTTCCCAAAACATCTCCAAACAGCAGAATTATTTTTGCCAATCTGTATCTAAAGAAAATTCAATAAAAAATAAAATAAATTTAAAAAAAAAAAATCTTATTAGCGTGTTTGTAAAACTCTATGGTGTTGAATTTCTAATGAAAACAATTTTCTATTGATTCTACCTGTTCAACAAATGACGCAATGAAACAATCTATAGGTTGAATTCTTTATTCAAAACTATATTGTATCAGAGAGGCAAATAGCTATAGCAGTAATCCTTGAGGAACATACTTCGGAGCTGAATTCTATAGTAGAAACGTTCGAAGTAGACTTATGTGAAGAGATTCTTCTCACGGTTGTAGTATTTGACAAAACGCGTAATTCACAAATAATATAGCCAATCCGCCGCTGTCACGACCTTCGAGAGTTTCGTACCACGAATCACACGAGCTTTTAGAGCAAGAGTTACTTTTTGAACTTACGCGTATACATGGTCAATCCGCTCTCGATCGGTAACATTGATTCAAAAGTACTGAAAGTTCATTCCAGTCGTTCCCAACTTTTAGAACTAAGAATAAGCCCAATGCGTTTTTCCACCATAACAAACAGAACAAAATTTTCAGTTTTCAGAGATGCTCATCCGAAAATGTGTCGGCCAGAGCGACAGTGTATAGCGCTTAAGTGCTAACTTACAACATGAGTAGCTATCAAAAATAGACTGCTAAATTTGGCCAGCTGTGCAAATGCGTATGCGCTCAGGTTGTACTTTTGACATTTGCCTCTGGTGTTCCTTTAGAAATAGGCAGAATTAGGAACAACAAAAAAGCCCCGCTCGCAGATGATTTATTATTTTTACGGATGCACGAAAAGCCTTCGTATTCGGAACGCAGGCCTACTATAAACAACTAGTTTGTAATTTTGGCCGTCGTTTATAACTTTACAATTAAGTTGATATTTTTAAATAACGTATATTTTCCAGCGAGTTTCTAGCGGGGTATCTGGTGATAGAACGAAACAATTTTGCACTTTAAGTATTAATGCAATGTCACCTAACACGCGAAGTTGTTACTTGTGAAACTAGGTAACATCGAATGCTCAAAGCAGGACAAGATCGGCCAGTTCAACGGTATACCATCTACGAATCGGTGCGGATTGAATCTGCCTTGTGGAAAAGTTAACAGTGGTACAATATGAAGACTAATCAGATGAAGTTACATTAAATGATGCGCTGGTGCATTTCAAGGAATTCTATCAGCACGGACTTTTCGTACAAAGATTCGTTTGAGGTACGCTTAAAAAACACTCTAGATAGGGATGATCACACAGGCCCTATCCTCTCATGTGGTTCTGGTCAGAGATCTAGCGAGCATCGTTTAGTAAGACCTCATTGGGACAATGCGACAAAAGCGACCAATAGGCCAACTGTTAGCGCAAGGCTGACACAGATATCAGGCCAGGACATTGTCGCACTGCTGGTGATTTGCTACTAGAATAGAGACGCATCGTCAGCTAACGAGATGAAGATTTACCTAAAGAGTCGAATCAGCGTGAGCAGGTTAGGATCGATATACAGATGTGTGCGACAAAACGAATTCCTTTCGTAATTGCCGGTGCTACAGGTTTGATTCTATGAATGAATAAACAGAATACCGAAACCAGATTTAAACTGTCTTTAGCAGGTGCTTGAACATTGTTTGTATGGGATTTTTATACGGCGCATTCAATTCGGCCAGGAACTGACGCAAAACGACAGGATAATCTTAATAAAGTAATAAACTGCGATCGAAGAACGAAATAATTAACGTGGACGATTGAGACAACAGCTGCAAGGTAACGGGGTGGGTAAAGTGTGACAGTAAAAGAGCGGACTCAGGACATTTATTAATCGTCGCAAAGTAGCAAAATCAATGGGGAACGTATCCGAATACGCCGTTGTCGCCGCAGCGTGGACGCCTGAACCCATCTCTGAAAGCACCAGATGTTACTGGTTCATTGCGAGTGAAACTGGGTAACACGATAACTGCAATAAAGTAACTATAATATGTATTCGACTAAAGGAAACTGGGCACACAATTATAAAAGGACGACAATAGTCACTGCAGCCCGGTGATGAGAGCCATAGGACTATTGCGATTAACTTCCATGAAAATTCGTATCGATAAGATCCGGATCAGAATTTAAATCATTAGTCGGAGTCGACTTGTTGTATCGCTTCCGATACACATGTCAGAAAGTGAGTAAGGTGCCTGACTCCAGTTGTTCATACTCTTTGACGAATCTCCGAACGCAGCGGGTGCGGGTTCTCATCGTCTATATTCACTGATTCACAGGCGTCGTTTCTACAATGTGGCGTAGTTGTGGCAACGTTTATTGTACTCGGCCTCGAGGTGACCGAGCAGAAGTATATGTACTTAATTAGCAGGTCCCTTAGGCGACAAGGATGCTGGATTTGTGAATTTTTACTGATAGTTCGCTAACCAGTCACTAAAACCTACCGAGTTATTTGACATCGTACATTGAGCGCACGCGGTTCGATTGAAGGGGCTCTTGGACAGAGCCCAGTTCATTTCATCTGTTTTTGCCTGTCGCGCGCTTTTGCAGGGCTTGACCTTGAAATAAGTAAATTTTAGAGCCTTCGTAAAGAGACTTACGTAATTCTTGATATTAGGTAGTGGGTCGCAAAAGCTTTCGGCAGTTTTCTATATTTATTTCGATTAGCTCCCTGAGTAGAATCGTCCGTGATCCTTTTGCCATCATAAAAAAAACTTTGCAAGCTTCGGCCGCTGGAAAATAGGCACAAGTTGAGTTGAACAGACAGTCGGAAAGCGAAACGGATAGGACTGGTCTGTTTTCAATAATCTTACGTACGGGCGTACATTGCTAAAGAACACCTATCTCTGTTTCGGATTTATTTATTCATCCATATTAATATCATCAGTGAATCACAGCTACGATTTTATCCAATCGCGCAACTTACTTGTGTTATAGCGTGTGGTACACTGCGGTAATATACTTTGTATTGACCCCTTCTCTTGAGTTCACCTTGCATTTGAATCCGTATCTTGACAACATCAACCGGATGCACTACTACCGTAGCGATAATCGACGCGCAGGAGCCAATAACAATATCTGCCATTGTGTTTGTCTACATTATCTCAGTAGGCTCTCACGTTTGATTAACATAGCAATATTCAATTTATAGCAGAAGGGCCATTTCGACCGATGATTTAATGCTAGTTGCAAGTTAAATAAGTTAATGAAAAACTAATCAACTTCCGCCATGTTTTCTAACCATGTCGCACTTGTTGCACACACGATCATCACATCGTTAACACCAATTTGATTAACTCCATTCAAATATTCCCTTTGTGAGGGCCTAGTTAGCTGCCGAGAGCAGTGATAAAAGCACGGGGCAATTTTACTTCTCCACCGATGGCCATCCTTAACCGGCCGTTGTCTAGCTTCGCTGTTGTTCGTACAAATCTCTAAGCAAACGGCCATTTAAGCGTCGACCGTGTAACTGGAGGAAAGTTCATACTCATAGAACAAAACAATACTGTTATGGCAAGCTAGTGAACCAAAAAGCATACGCTCTAGAGAACGCGTCTAGAACGCCGATCAGCGTCCTATCCAGCGGCGCTGCCGGCTTTCTACTGGCTAACTGCTAACACAGCTGACGCGGCTTGCAGCTACATCGGCGGCCCGAAGTAGATCTCATCCTGCCAGACAAACTTAAGGGCTAAGGACCTTGTCGTGCACGGCGGGCACATCCGCGTTCAGTGCACAGGGCATCGGCCATATTACGGACTACAGTGCTCGTCCCTAGCCCGAGTAGCAGCCGGTGAGCTCGACAGCAAGCGACTGTGCAATGGCCAGGCGATCAATGAAGGCGCTAATGGCCATAAACTATTGTGGCGCTCAACGGTTGCTTTAGCGCTGTGTCTTTTTACCTATCCCGTTTTATATCTTACCGTGACTTCTTTGTTTTCATTCGCAGTAGAATCGTCGTAGGGCGAGGTAAGACTCTAAAAGTGACCTGTAGCAGGACGTTTATGGAAACTTTGTGAGAGGACCTTTACCTAGTGCCGAAGCGCTGTCCTTTACACCTAGAGCCAAGGTTGGCCGACGATCTATTTGGTGGGTTGACAGCAGTCGAAAATTAGTTTAATAACAAGATTCATATGTGTCCAATTCAACCTGCAGCTTTGTTTAAGACAGAAAACCAATTCATTCTTAGCAGTACCACATATAGATAGCTAAGGGCCATACGGGCTTTCAATCGAAATTTAAGGTATACATTATTACTGTGAAGATAAAGGCAAAATTAAAATAACAATGAAAAATGTCAACGACTATCGAACGTTACCATATAATACACGCACAGAATAACATGACAGCATACAAGATTAGGCTATTTCGGAACTGACTGAAATAATTCTAGCTTTTGTCGTCCACACGCGCCCACCCAATGATCGATAAGTGTGGACGCTGAGATAAAAACCAGGAAAAGTAAAAACCGACACAGCCACCCCGCGTCCAAAAGCTATCCAAAACAGACTGTATGGCTTTATCTACGGTATAGTAATTTTTACTGCTACACAATTGATACATACCTATTAGTTATGTGCGGACAATTCGTCATTTCACCAACATATCTCTTATAAAATTTGCGATATCGGCTTATGATACAACCCTTATAGAATGCAACATGTCAACTTTGAAGCCCTTCTTTAGACACCGTTTGATCTCAGTGGGGGCGTACTAATTGACGGACTGATACAATAACTATTGTGGTTCAATGATCGTCAGAAAGACGTCTATCAGTACGATGACATACATATCACTCAACAAATCATACATATATATGCACTACACATTGTAGCTTTCAGGTCGAATTAGTGATGGGGGGCAACAGTGAAATAGGATTGTGACGAACCCATTTTGCAACAGGTCGCTAATTGAGGTTCATGCTCCTAGCAGCTAGTCCCCTTAATACGACTTCCGTGATTGTTAACAGCATTTTTATATGCTACGAGAGCGGGGACGGATATATTAGTTGGCGGCTAACGCCACTCCGCGTACTATTTTCTTCTTGTTTTTGTGTATGTTATTTTTTCCGTTTTTTCATTTTTCGTATTTTTTTGTTTAATACAATAGTGCGGTGATCGCTCTGCTTAACAGTAAGGTATAACCGCGCCTCAAAATAGTATTTTACCTCTATATACTTGAAGTATGCCACTCGAATTCCCTTCGACTCTGAGATATATTCTCAAACAAGCATCAATGGTTTTTTTTACGATAATAGCTAAAATGTCCCATAGTAACCACTATCGGGATATAAAGACCGACCCACAAACAGATGTGTCCCGTTTATGTTGTGTTTGCTTTGCACAGGAAAAAACAAGGCTGGAAGTTCAGACGCATTTTAAATTAATGTTTAACTTGACCAAGCCAAGTTACACCATGGGAAGGAAAATTGATATTTTTTTCCACTTCGTTTTTTTCTGACCCTTACAGATATGCAGTATGATGTTGAATAGGTCCAATAAATGAAGAAAAAAAACGTAATGGTTTATGGCAGTATTTCACCCTGTAGGTCAATATAAATAAAGAAGAAATAAAGAATTACTGCTTTGGTAAAAGAACCATAAAGTGTGCTTGTTTTGACGTTAGAAGGAACGACATAGTAGACGTCTAGCTTAGCTGACTTATATTACGAGCTATTAATACCATGTTTTCCAATACTTCATTGTGATTCCTGTCGAAACCGTAGCATCTTAACTAGTCTAAAAATGCTTTCCGGAATTGTTTATAAAAAAATATATAAACGAAATGTTATTTTGTAATAGCCTTTTACATGTGACACACACATAAACATGTGGGCGCGCACACCTACGCATTGACATCTCGCCAAGGTGTCAGTACCTCTCCTTGGCAAACTGTCTATCCAGATTTTGCCTTATGACGCCTCATCTCGTCCACTTGCCTTGTCATTTCTCAATCGGGTCCTCCGTCTAGTCGAGTTATATTGATGACGCAGTCGGGGCGTATACGGTCGCCGTTTGCCATGCAGCCTCCTGTATTTAGACATATTAATAAGCGACAGTCTGGTTATAACCGCGACGCTAGCCTTGCCGCCTTTTTGAAGCTTTACGACGACCGTTCTCCTTTCTTTACCTCGCCTCCTGTTTCTTTCGCACTCGCCGCCGTTTTACCGTTATCCGATTCTCGCGCTCTGCTGCTTGGCCTTTGTGCGAATTGTGCTTGTATCCCTGCCCTTTCGTACGTTGCTAGATGCGCTAGGGCGTCCTAATACTGCTTTTTCCACGCACCTCGTTTCGTCTTCCAACACTCGTCGCTATGATTTTCGCTGAACATATGCTATTGTACGTGGTGCCTGAAACTTTCTGGTTGTATTTGTCTGCCTGTGTGCATATGTCTGTTTTTCTCTTTGGGGCCTCACCCGGCCCAGGGCTGCGAAAAGACGTGTCTCGAAATTTAAAACGCATGCACATGTGCTCCTTATGCTGCTGTTAAGGAAGTTATACAGCAGCGCGATAGTGGATAGTATTATAATATTGCCACCATCAACAGTAGCAGGAAGGACAGTGGCGGCAGACGTGCGCTGGGCTGTTGTTAAGGTAAAAAAACCCAAGATGAACGTAAATGGACGCTAGCATCACACGTGATGCCAGCCTACGCTAGGAACATGCATTTGCTGTCGTTGCGGTAATGGGCTTGCTTTTTTTCGCTTTTTGCCATTACTTGTAATAGGAACTATAATTTGATAAGATCATGTACCAGTATTCTTTGCCCCTGCACGCCCACATACACGTACGCCACATATACAGACACACGCACATACACATTTATATGTATATATATATATATATATATATATATATGTATGTAGCTATACACATGTGGCGACCGGAAATGATCGCAGCCATGACATGTGGATGTGTATCTCAACACGGGGTTTCATTTTAACTTAGAGAAGTTAAAACGATTCTTTAGTTCTTGCTCAAACGACTAATTAGATGTCATTAGAAAAGTACAATTTAAGAAGAAGAAGAATGAACTGAAAGCCAGCTTGCATAATGTTAGTTGAGTGATAGATACTTGATGTACATACATTTCCTGTGATAGAAACATTTAAATATTTATTTAGTGCTATTTGAGCCATTCAGAGCTGTATCATTCTATAATTTTTGTTATTGTTATTCTTATTGGCGGGGATTTTTAACTTCAAATCTACTGTAATTAAAAGTACGAGTTAGTAGAAGCCTGTTTGCTTCTCTCCGATACAGGTCCGCCATATAACATTAGAAACCTTTTTCCACATTGGGAAAGTAAATAGTGCTACATCACCTCATTATATAGATCGTTTCTGCTAGCCAATAACAATAAAATTGTGTCTTACATAAATCCTTTGTAGAAGAACTAACAAAAAAACACCGCCTACGTTGTCATGCCCAACAAGTGTACTCCTATGGAATACAGGAGGTAACATTGCAATAAGTTAAGTCTGGCTGTACTCTGTTCCACGTAAAAGTGGGGAATATTTTGTTTCCGTTTATCCTTCTGCTACAACTGTTTCCATAGTCGTTCCTCGTTTTCTTCTAGGAAGCTTCGAAGTTTTCCGAGACTTGGTTTCTTAGGCTGCTTACGGACTTCCGCCTGCGCATCATTTTGGCAACGTCTTTTCGTCCTTTTACAACCCCGCAACGTTCCATATAGCTAGCCCTAGTCACTTTGCAAGCCTCTCGCTGAAAAAAGCTCGGACTAAAAAGAAGCTCGGTTGGTGCGCGCAGATGTGAAACCAGCAAATCCTCAAGTCTCTCGTCGCATACGGAAGCACAATCAACTTTTCACTGCTCCCTCAATTTAGTCGACATCCAGCACGAAGGTATAGCTATACGAAACTGCAGCAGGGGCTGGTTCGGAGGCACAAGCCACCGCTTGGTCGTCAGAGCGAAAAAAATTGTGGACGATGGGTGGACGACTGCACGTATGAGCGACGACGTAAAGACAGACTGTGTTGGGTAACGAACGCAGTGAAAGAGGAACGATGTAGTATGAAGGCGTGCAACTATGCTAAGGCGTTGCGGGACATTTACCTCTAGCTGGTCTCCCACTTGGTACCCCCGCGTGCGATGCTGCTTCATCCGCTCAGTCTTTTCGATTCTTACCTTCCTTACTTTCGGCTCTTTGGGAGAGTGTACGAACCGCTTAAGGAAGGCAACTTTTTCATTTGTGTTAAAAGTCGGACGACTCTCAGCAGCTGATCAGTCGCTAGCAAGCTGAAGGACTAACTGTTGTGAAAGCTAAAGGATGTGGACACTTATCACACAGATACACACAGAAGGACAGACACTTGTATACAGAAGGACGCACGTATTGCTAGACAAGAAGACGGACCCTGATAGAAATAACCGCTAAGCAAACCACAGTGGTGGGATTTGCAAAACGATTTAGACCGTCTGCCCACAAGTTTTTGTCGACTCTGCTCCTTCCGCAACGTCATGCATGCATGAAAAAAGCACCCCAATATGTTTTTATGTGGGTACCGGGAGCCATCTTCGTGATGGCGCATGTCTCCATAGCAAAAACTTTTGCGGAGGGAAAGAAAACCAGCGTTCTAAAGGATTCGTTCTCACCTTGGTTTCA